TTTTTTTTTTTTTTTTTTTTTTTTTTTTTTTTTTTTTTTTTGTGGAGAACGGACGAAAATCGGTGCGCGCGCAGGATGTCATCCATAAAAATAAAAAAGTGTGGCCTAATATAAAACATCGACAATAAGGAGGTAGGTCAAAATTATGCAGATATACACCAAATGTATATGTGACTGAATCGTTCACTTTTTTGAGAAATGTCCCTACTTCTGGAATAAGAAATTATCATCGACCTTTGCTTTAAATCTGCTTTTCTTTTACCTTTATTTGCGTCATTATTAAAGATAACGGTATTTCAGTTTTGTTTTACGTGACTGAAACGTCCCCCCCCTTTTTTTTTTGTTTGAAATATCCCTACTTCTGGAGCAAGAAATTATCATCTTCCTTTGCTTTAAACAAGCTTTTCTTTTACCTTTATTTGCGTCATTATTAAGGATAACGGTATTTCAGTTTTGTTTGACGTGTTTCATTGACATTTATAAAATAAAAATACGCTTCTGCAATAAAAATACCACTGATAGTACACATACCTGTGGTTGCTGCATAAGAACAGGTCCCTGTGGGTAACCATATTGTCCTTGACCTTGCATTATCATTTGACCTGGAAGCTGACCTGGGGATTGAAGCTGAGGGTTGCTGTACGAGTGCGTCATCGGGTAGGAGGGGGGGCCTGGATGGGCGGTCTCGAGAGGATAACCGTCGTTCCACTCCCCCATATCTCGATCCTTGCTACCTCTATAAGCCATCCTAACCATATCAATGGTAAACAGAATATCATGTGAGAGATTCGAACTGTGATTACACACATTTTAAAAAATAAGCACATAAAATGACATGGTTAGACTTTGAAACCAGTCAGATAACTCTGAATACACAGTACTATCGGGACCGTAGGCTGAAAAAAAGTGGGTGGGGTGCCCTCATGGCTGATGGAAGATTAGAGACTTAATTTAGATTGGGAGAAAAGGAAAAGGTCCTTATAAAGCTTACTGATTTTGTTCTTTTTCAAAAATCTCAGGTGGGGGACGACCCCACCCACGCACCCCGCAGGCTACGGTCCCGATCGTCGAGTTGCCGAAACCCTGTAAACTTTTTAACAGACATGCGCCCTTCAACCCTAACGAAACATAAGTAGTTCGCTTTCTCCAGCTATCAGGAAAGCGTGTGTGTAAAATTGTTTTCAGGATACATGTATAACATATTTGGGTCTACAGTGTAAGTGAATGGCATCTACTTTACGATGTCACATGCAGTAACAAATGAGTTTGCTTTCTGATAGCAAGGGAAAGTAACCACAGTATGCCTCACACCGCTTCCTTGATGTCACGTTAAGCACAATTAAGTTTTCGAGAGTTTTAACACCGTGCAATGTGACTCTTTAAGATGCCTGTCTCCAGTCTATGTAAGCTTTATAATCCCCTACAAGACAATACGCCCACTGGTCAGAGATTAAAATGACGCTTTACTGTTCATTAAAAGTTTTAAAAATCATGATCAAGAATGTTTTGAATAGTTATCGCTAAGGCAATAGCAATCTCAAAACCGTGTCCTGTTTCCTAAAAAAAGAGGGCGATTCTTAGCTCCGTGCCATCGAAGGAAAACGGCGGAGACATACCTAGATGCTAAATAGGTTGCAAATACTCACTACTCCAGAGCGTTATTAAGTGCGCTGCACGTTTGTAAAAAAAACGCAGCAGGGAGAAGACACCACCCTTACTTGTTATGAACATCATGGTTGGGACGGGAGTGCATGTAGATCCCCTTTGCCATATGGATCCCATTTCTCATTAAAATTTTTAAACAATATTTCAAATTATTTCAATTTACACCAGCACAACTGATTATCATCTCTCGTGCGTCAGATGGTGTGCATTGAATTCCCGCGACGAATTTTTAAGGATTCTCCTTTTGACATAATCACAGCGTTTGAAGCAGGGATACAAAGGTTTGCCATTCATTAAATTTAGGTTCAATCCAGTGGGCTCCGCATTTGAAATTTCTTGACAGACGACCTCTTTTAACATGCCGACGCCTTGTGGTTAGAGTATCCGCCTCCGGAGCTGGAGGGCGTGCATTCGACCTCTCCTGAGGACATACCAGTCCTTCATAAACGGTACCTGCTGTCTCCCCACTTGGCACTCATCTTTAAGGGGTGGAAACAGGGTTTTAAGAGCCCAATACGGCAGCCAAGCTGTATCCTCCCCGGGGAGTAGAGGGCGACAACTTATAGTGTGCAACAGGGCTAAAATGACCAGGCTTCCTTTGATTTGAATTTTAAATTATATATATATATATAACTTCAACATTTCAACCTTCGCGGTTGCTAAATCTCACTTACCCTTAGTATTTTTGTGACTTACCTTTCCACAAGCGAAGGCGTATTAATATCTGGGCAGAACCCAAACCCTTGTTTTATTGATCAAACGATCTTATCTGTTTGCCCCAAACATGAACTTTATTGCCTCAGGCCTTTGGGTAAAGAAACCACCCAGTGATACCGGTGATAAATTGCTCTTCCTGGAACAGCGCAAAATTCTCAAGAAGTTCTGAAGTGGGCGGTATGAAAGGTATGTGTCCGTTTCTCTTTTTACTGCAGCTTCTCTCCGCACTTTTAAGTTTGCCTTGTTCGTGATGATCCTCCCTAGTTCACTATTAGCTTCTACCATTTGTCATTGGTTTGGATGAAAGGTTGTGAATAATTTCAGTTTATTTAGTTCACATTTGAAGAGTTTTGAGTGCTCCTCTGTCTCTTTTGTCCAAAAGGAACTGGTCTACGCATCCTGGTGTCATCCACCCGGAGCACATGACCAACTAACGTAGTTGTTATTACCCCCTCCTCTCTTCAGGAGGAGAATTCCTCAGTACTTTCCACCTTTCTTAGGCTTTGGCTTTAGAGATCATACAAAAATGTACAATACTGTCATTTAAAAAAGTGCTGGTGGTGCTGCAGTGACTTGATATCCTGTCAGTACATCCCATCAAACACAGAACGTTATTAAAACGTTGCCGTAACGTTCTGGTAACGTTTAAGTAACGTTCTTTTTTTTTTTTGCTGGGATGTAATTGCCGCCTGATACATGAATGTGGACATGGCAACTAAGAGCTTGTATTTCGGTGGGAAGTATCCAAGGCAGATTTCCCAAAAGTCGTCATACAGAAACCTCTCAAAAGAGATGGCTGCCTTGCGGGATTCGATAGTCAATGCGCTTTATGGTCGGGCATCATATGAAGTAAAAACCCCAAGGTTATCGAAAGCTTCAACAAATTTCAAGTCAATGCTCATCATACTGGGTGTATGGTATTCTCTACTAAGGAACTCTATGGTGTAATATCTCTGTCTTCTTCACCAAAACGCATTGGCAATCTTCGCAATCTGGCTCAGCGTTTGCGAGCAGAGCACAATAATCTCTAATAAATATTAGTATTTCAGTGTAGGACATGGACCTGGGCAGGTTGAACAGGCTGCCATATTATCTGTTCGGAACTTGATGTAACTTCATTCTGTGGTGTCTCCCATGACTTCTCTCAACATCAGGTTGAAAAATAGTGCAGATAAGTAAGGCGTTAAAACACTTCCTTGCTGACCTCATTGCTAATAAGGTGCTAACAGAGGTTCATTAATGGATAGTGGTTCATTAATCTTCTCTATTACATTCCCAAGCGTACTATCACTATCGAATTTCTATGCGTGTAGTCCCTGTCATTGATACTAGGAATGTCAATTGTTAAATCAGATCAAAGTTAAAGAGTCACTTGCAATTGCTGCATGACACAAACTACATGTACATAAAAGGCGAAGCAAGGCCACATAGGTCAAACTGTGACCTGCGCGTCTATTGATTGTACTAGAGAAAGTGTCCTATTGCGGAAAAGTTTAAGTTACACGTTGTATCAGTCGAGGTACATGTAGGTGAAGTGCAGAAAAAACTTAATATAATAATTACTGATAAAGAAGATTGACTGCTACACGACTATTAGCGCCGAATGCGATCTACCTGTGGCATTGCAATAAGACAAGTGAATTGAAATCCAATTAGAGTGAGTCCAAACCTTTGTTACTGTAGTTACTTGTTCGGTGTCGACAGCCCGTTGAACCAACTTATATATTTAAATATCATAAGAGTGGCTTTCAAGGAACATAGTGCAAAATAACCATTTAAATCACATTTTTCAAGTATTGCTAATTTATTTTCCGTGTATGGATATAAGAGTTTAGTGAGTTTAGGCTTATTCGGAGGTCTGGCAAAGATATAAGGAATCAAAGCATCAACCATTTAAAGTGACATGAAATAAGACGACTTCTTGATTAACATTCGACTTGGGAAACAATTCATCTACAATATAATTAAAGAACGTCCATGTTACGAAGACAAATGCAACACAAATGATAAACTGGTATCTTTTAAGAGCACTGAAAGTGACTTGTAATCTGTATACAAAGAGGAGAGGTTATTGTAATACAGAAACCTCATTCACTTATCTAAAACACCGTTTTTCTAGACCTCTTATATATACATTTTATAGCTGACTCTTTATAGTTTTATTAGATATATAAAAAATAATAGTATCAAGACATGTACGGAACACACAATCAAACGTAGAACTACGACAACAAACGGAAATAAACAAATTAATAGTGTGTAATACGCGTGAGAGCCATAAGTAAGCTTTTAATACTTGATTACAATTGTTCAAAAATCAGATGTTTCAACTGAAATTTTTTCCACAACATCCATGTCGAGACCCATCCTTGTGGTGATGAGATGTTCTGGTCCTGCTTAGAGACCCACAACATTCATCTCTCTCTTCAACTGACATATTACACAGGGGACGCAGAACGTGGTCACCATGCAATCATTGCAAATACTCCCCTATGATAAAATAACGACAAATATCAATGGAATCCAATGAAGCCAAAATAATGCTGCAGATTAAATGGCCAGGTCAAATGTCTATGTTTTATTGGCGTAAATAATTAAAAATTTAGCATTTTCATTAGTTATGAGGTGCTGTCACAACGTAAACTGAGCTGTAATTAATTTGCTGTCATTCTCTGCGCATTTCGAGATTTCAGAGGTTAACGAAAGAAGCAGGTTTGATGTTTTTGTGGTTTTATGGTTTATGGTTTTATTGACGTTTTTATTATTTCCCCGACGTGTTACGTTTTACCTGAATTCCGTATCTCTCTCGCATAAGTGTCCGCATGACCAGCAGGGCACCAGGGACGCATAATCCGGCACAGTAACCTTCGCCCATTTTATTTGACATATGGGCCAAGTAGCAAGCTTCCTCTTGGCAAACAACAACTACCCAGAACACCGAGCAACCTATAAGTAGATTTTGGCAAAAAATTCTTACTATTCCATCAATGACAGTTATTAACAAAGTAACTAACTAATGCTGAGTTAAAGGAGCACACGTCGAAAGGTGCCTGAGAGAACACAGTGGGATACTTGGGATGTCGTTGCGTTAGTGATGCAGATTACGGTTGGGAATCTATTGAAATCTTTCATTCCGTCATCTTTCATATGGATAACATCGTGCCAGAATTGTTGTAGAGAAGCTATCTAATTACTTACACACTCCCATGTCCTCGCAGCAACCGCACAGTCCAGACGACCACTCCCTTTTAGTCTGGGCCACTTGTTGACCACCTTGCTGGATGACCACTGTTGTCATAGGCTGTAAAATGTTGTTTTTTTTACGTTTTTGTGTATGTATTGTACATAAACGTATTATAATTAAATATATATATACTGAAACACGAAGTCACACGTGCTTTTTAACTACTGTTAGTATATACATGTAATGGTCATTCAACGCAAAAGTGAACAACTTAATTTTTATATTTTTGGAGGGTGCTAAAGTATTGAAACATTGAAAGTGCCGAGGTATGCAAATATACACATTTTTTGCGTCTCTGACTTGACTCAAATGTTAACCTTCTTGTGGAATTGCGCTGTTTTCTTTAGGAACCAGAAAATTGTCAAGCTTCCCTCACTTTTGGGGGTTTTTTTCTTTAAACTTCATTTCTGAATAAGGATACCCGTATTTCAGTTTCTGTTTAACTCGTTTTATTAGATTTTTATCTTCAACCATTCTTCAATAAAATAATCGTACCTGCGGTTGTTGCATTACAATAGGTGCTTGTTGGTAGGCATATTGTGCTTGACCTTGGTAATACATTTGACCTTGAGGCTGACCTTGAGGCTGACCTTGAGGTTGACCTTGACGCTGACCTGGGGGCGGATACTTGGGGCTGCTATCCGAATGTCGCGGCGACCAATAGTCTGGTTGCGGGATCTCGTGAAAATCTTCGTAGCGCTCTCCCATATTTCAATCTTTATTACCTATTTAATTCATGGTAACCATACTGTAGTAATGGTAAAGAAAAATAATATGAAACAAAATTGTGATTGTTGATATTAATACAAAAACGCAAATAAACATATAGGTCGACTTGACCAATCTGACAGAGCGTAGGTTCAGTATATGTTTGTGTGCTGGGCTCCATAACTCGAAAGCGTCGCAAATTGCGACTGAGCGCAAGCATGGTGATTCGTCGCTATTCCATAACTCGAAAGCATCGCAATTTACGGTCTAGCGCTAACAGCGGTATCACCTTTAGTTTTGAGACTATTATTTGCGACGAGTAAATATCTTTAATTTTAATTATAATACTATAAGTATCATGGATATTCAGCAAATCTGACCAGTAAAGGTCATAAGGCCCATGCGAGTTCAAAATCACACCTTCAAAATGACAGAATGAGGAAAAATTTATTTTATGAAATTCATCAGTTCTGTGATTTTGCAGGCAATAGTTCAAACGGTTTTCCATTTATCGTGATATCTCTAAAAGTGCACAGCGGCGGTGACGACGAAGACGCCGACGGCGACGACAAATGCTGGTGATTTCTACATGTACAGACACGATGTGTTTTTAGATATAAACCATGTCTGATACTCACCACCTTCAATCAGTAACGATCCTTAGGTCCCATAGAAAACACCAAAATGGCGTCGGCCTTTTATGTAGCGCATACGTGCACACATTCTAGATATTTCCCCACTTTATAACAAACTGAAAGCTCCTGTACAAATACTGGTTATTATTTCGCATTGTTTGCAGTGGTTTAGGAAAGTATAAAAACGTTCCCTTTATTCTTAAAAAAAAACAACATTGGGTTTTTGTTCGATCCACAGTCTGACGAGATCGATTTACCTGTATTGGGTCACATTGAGTGTCTCCTATCTTATTGTTTGGATTTCTGCTGTGTGTGCCACAATTTGTTTAACCCAAATCGTAGCAGCATATTTTGCAACACATTCCCACCACGTGGATAGTTTACGATCGCGACAAGGCATTATTAAATACTGATTGTTTTTGGTAAAGAAAACAGAAGCTTTTTTTGTAAAATTTGCAAACATTATATAATCATACACATTGCTGTTGAACGACAATGCTATTCTACTGTATATTAATCAACATTTTAGAATTTCTTTAGCCGAAGAAAATAATATGCACTTTTTTTTTAATTGAAAATTGTGTATATTTTAACATCTTTTAACAAAAATATCAGAAACATACAAATACAAATTATAGCACGCAAGGGCTACACAAATAAGTTAAAGTCAAGGAAAAGCCTAAGTTGTTCACTGGATCTTAGTTTTATTTCACGTAGGAATTCATAAGGCACGTAAAAACTAAAAAGAAAAAAAAGAAAAAGAAAATTACAATTATACACTCACTACCGGTTATTTACGTGCTTAGATTTACTTGCACAAAAACTGATAAATTTAAATAATCACCATTAATCAGTAATAATCAATAAACAGTATTAATGACTCACCATTTATGCCATTCCATTAACTATAACAAGTAGCAATGGTGAAAATAACTGATCAAAAAGAAAGAGTATACTATGTGTTCCTTCTACGGAGACACTGTGTTGAATGAAATAAAGTGCAAACCCTTGGGGTACCACCCTGAATGAAAAGTTATCATTTATGAAAATGAATCTCCGTTGCATTAGATGAGCCGGTTTACCCGGCTCCTATACCTCAATAAAAGTAAACTAAACCTTACACAAACAAAAAGGTACTGCATTGCGTAGCGAAGCCGTGAGCTGTGTCACTGATACATATACACATGTGGTATTATGTCAGATGCATATTTTCAGTTTTATTTTTGAAACCTGATGTAACTTCATTCTGTAGTGTCTACCTTGGCTTCTCTCAAAATCAGGTTGAAAATAATACAAATAAGTAAGGCGCTTAAACATTTCTTTGCTGACCTCATTGTTAATAAGGAATTGAACAAAAGTTCATATAAAGGTTCATAAATGGATAGGCTAAATGTTCTTAAATGTTCTTTATTACATTCCCAAGCGAGGTATCAGTATTAAACCTCTAATAGTGCAGTCCTTGCCATAGATACATGCATTCTGCCAGATGCTAGGAATGTCAGTTGTAAAATCAGGTCAAAGTTAAAGAGTCACTTGCAACTGCTGTAACTGCTGCATGACACAAACTACATGTAAAAGGTGAAACGAGGCCACATGGGTCAAACTGTGACCCGTGTGTCTATTGATTGTACTAGAGAAAGTGCCCGATTGCGGGAAAGATTTAAGTTACACGTTGCATCAGTCCAGGTAGGTGAAGTGCAGAAAAAATTACAATAATTATTGCTCAAAAGAGTTTGACGGCTACACGCCCCTTCTTCCGAATCCAATCTACTTGTGGGCATGTAATAAAACCAGAGAATTAACATGTAATAAAATAACAGCGAGCCCAAACCTTTGTTACAGAAATCATTTGCTTGCCGATTACCCGTTTTACAACGCACGTGCATCTGAGAAACCACCTTATTATTTAAATTTCACAAGAGTGCCTTTCAAAGAACATAGTAAAAAAAATAATAACCATTAAATTCACTATTTTCGATTCTTGGCAATTTATTTTCCGTGTATGGATATGAGAAGTTAGAGAGGTGAGGCATACAGCATGCGTATCATTCATTCGAGGTATGGAAATAATGTAAGCAAACAGTTTAATGCACCAACCTTTTACGATATAAAAAAAAAACTTCTTGATTAACATTCGACTTGGAAAACAGTCCATCTACTATATAATTAATGAACGTCCATGTTACGAAGACAAACACAACATACATGATAAACATTTAAGAGAACTTAAAATGACTTGTAATCTATCTACAAAGAGGGTGAAGTTATTGTAATACAAAAACCTTATTCACATATCTAAAACACCGTTTTTGTGACCTGTACATTTTATGGCTGAATCTGTTTAGTTTTGTTAGATATTTTAAAGATACTAGTATCTAGTATCGTGACATTAACTGAATACACAATCAAAAGAAAAACTAGGACAACAAAAACAAACGGATATAAACCAATTATTAGTGTGTTATACGCGACAGTAGCAATAAGGGAGGTTTTAATACATGTACTTGATTTCAACTGTTCATAAATCGGATGTTTCAACCGAATTTTTTCCATGTCGAGACCCATCCTTGTGGTGATGAGGTGTTTTGGTCCTGCTTAGAGACCCATGACACTCAACTCTCTCTGCAACTGACACATAACACAGTGGAAGCAGAACGTGGTCGCCAAGCAATCATTGCAAATACTCCCCTATGATAAAATAACGACAAATATCAATGGAATTCAATGAAAGCAGAGAAAAATAATTTAAGCCAAAAAAAAAAAATATATATATACAGATCTAGGATCGAGCCCTAGTGCAGATTAAATGGACAGTTCCAATGTCTGTGCGTTATCAGCTTAAATAATTTTAAAATGTAGTATTTTCATAAGTTACGAGATGCTGTCAGAACGTCATTTTTGGGGCCGGGAAATTAATTTGCTGTCATTCTCTGCGCATTTCGATATTCCAGAGGTTAACGAAAGAAGCGGGGTTTACCAACCGGATGTTGACGTCACTGGGGTTTGGCGCGTTACGTATGCAGCTTATGGGCAACATCAAATCAATCAACACAACTTAATTGACACCGGAACTTGTTTCATTTTTAATCCAATTTTTAAATAAATGGTTTTATTTTGTGAAATAAAAATAAGGAACATAGGTATGTATCACACACGTAGGTGTTGGTGTGCCTTTAATATTTCGTTTCAATGGTTTGATTGTTCTTATTATTTTCCCGAATTGTAACGTTTTACCTGAATATTGTATCTCTCTCGCAAAGCGGTTCTCATGGTCATCAGGGCACCTGGGATGCAGCATCCTACACAGCAACTCTCGTCCATTCTGCTTGACAAATAGGCCAAGTAGCAAGGTTCACAGCGTAAGACACCGGCTAGACAAAACACCGAGCAACCTGTAAGTAGATAATAACAGATCGCTTTCTTACCATCCCATCAACGACAGTTATTAACAAAGTTATTTTGCTAATTTTGAGCTAACGGAGTACACGTGGAGAGTTTTCAGATGGGACAGGTTTTGGTGTCTAAGAAAACATTGGGATACATTGGGATGCATATGAAAAGCAGAAGCAGATTGTGTTTTGGAATTTGTTGGAATCTTTGACATTGTCATTTGAAACGCCGTTCCAGAATTACCGCAGAGAAGCTGTCTAGTTACTTACACACTGCCATGTCCTCGAAGCAGGAGCACATTTCAGACGACCAATCTCTTTTAGACTGGACCACTTCTTGACCACCTTGCTGGATGACCACTGTTGTTGACAGAGACTGAACAAAAGAAATGCCATGCGTTTTTATACCAAACATGAACTTATACAGCCACTTGGTTGGCTACTGCTATTGTATACTGGGTCATTCGACAGAAAAGTGAACTGGTTCCATTGGTTCTTTACATATTCTACATAGGAAGGTACCATGGTACAAAAACAGCCGAAATAACGGGGCAAAAGTATGCGAATATTACACATAGTTTGTGCGTCACTGACTTGACTCGAATTTTTGTTTTCTAATGGAATTAAACTATTTACTTTGGAAACTAGTTACAGAGCCATCGGTTTTCCTCACTTTAAATGTTCTTTTCTTTAAAACCTTCATTTACGTCATTGTGGTATTTAAAATTTTGCTCCACGTGTTTTATGAACTTTTAATCCTTTACCCTCCTTCTATAAAACTGCCACAAATAACAAATATGTACCTGCTGTGGCTGTGTAACAATAGGTGCTTGTTGGTAGGCATATTGCCCTTGATCCTGGGGAAACTGAGCGCTGCTTTGCAAAGGTGGCGGCGGGTTAGACCAATAGCCTGGCTGCTGAGGCTCGAGCTGATAACCATAGTTCGGCTCCCCCATATCTTGATATCCTTATTTCCTCTATAATCTATGAAAACCATAGTAATTATATAGACAAAATCATGAAAAATTGTGAATTCTGTGGAAGAAAAACAGACCTCTGGTGGATAAAGGCGAAATAACTCTTTTCACACAGCTGGAATTTTTATTCATTTATTCTTTTTGAAAAAAGCTCTAGGGCAACTTCTAAACACGTATCCCACGCATACCCTGCAGTCAAAAACATTAACCCTGTAAATTTCTTTAAATTTCCTGTAGTTTTTCTTAGTACAGAACTGCTTTTAAAGCAGCAAATTTAGAACAAGACTTCAGCAATTTTCAAAGTGATTGCCAATTTAATTCCAAAACTGTAAAACGAACATAAATTCAATGTGTTTTAGGCCGCACTTAAGCAAGATAGCATCGCATGTATGCTGAAGGACACTTTTTTCATTCCATTTGTATGTTTTTGTCGACTATCGGGGAAAAAGCAAACTTAACAAAAAGCACGTGACTCACAATTCTTAATTTTGAGCAATCAAAAGTATCACCTATGAAATAATTTTTGCAAGAGAGGTANAATATATATATATATATATACAGATCTAGGATCGAGCCCTAGTGCAGATTAAATGGACAGTTCCAATGTCTATGCGTTATCAGCTTAAATAATTTTAAAATGTAGTATTTTCATAAGTTACGAGATACTGTCAGAACGTCATTTTTGGGGCCGGGAAATTAATTTGCTGTCATTCTCTGCGCATTTCGAGATTCCAGAGGTTAACGAGAGAAGC